TTCATTATTCCCAATCATGTGTGAAAGTCAGTGCCATCCCAGGTGCCGTCCAAAGTGTATAAGCGAATATTTTGGATGTGCACATTTTCCAAAAGTTGCATTTGCACACAGAAATGAGCCTGTAATCACCTTTGATTCAGATCTTTGTCTGATTGCAATCAGCACAGCTTATTCTCCCGCAGCGCAATCTGAACCTGCGCTCGCCAGACGCTCTCCTGCTCTAAAAGCAGCGGTGTGTGTGTGTGTGTGTTAAGAGCTGTAATGTGACTGCAGGGACACTCTAATGACCCACTGAATGAATCTTCATATTGATCACCTTCTCAAACCCTTTTAAAGCATCAATAGCACTTAAGGTTAAGGACACGTGTGACCTCTGTGTTTCTGTGTTTAAAGCAGACGGACATCTGGCTGGCAGAAGGAGGACGCTCGCGAACGCTTTTACACACCTGTGGTCATCTCTCGCCGGTCTTCAAGTTGAACACACAAGGGTTTGAGATAGTGAGGGCTGGTGTCTTAGGTCAGCCTTTCTCAAAGTGGGTGCCGCGGCACACTGGGGTGCCCCCTAGCTGTGTCAGGGGTGCCGCCAAAAAATTACGTAGGCTAAAAAAAATGTGAAAAACCCCCCCAGAAAAAAACAGCTGACATTTCATATATAAATATATTTGAATTGACATTCTTTTTTTTAAACATATGAACATATTAATAAAATTGTAAATTAATTTTAGATAAATATATAAAATTAATCATAAAAAAATCCGTCTCACAAGTCCGAAGCAAGACACACACACTTGACGCAAGTGACGCAATCCATAGCAACGCGTTATAGCAACACCTCAGACTGACAGAAACGTAAAAATAAACGTGAATTTAGGCCACTTTAGTTACAGCATTATGGATCGTTTTTTGAAAAGAAAATCCCCACAAGAGCCGGGGATTTTTATTTTATTTTATCTGCATCCTGCACTTCATTTGAGTTCTCCTGGTCTGGATTTGTTATTGGGTTCTTGTATTGGGCGGTCCACCTCTTACGGTTTTATGGCATTTGTGTCTCTGATTAATTATTTTGTGAATTACTTTCCAAACCTGTGTTTTTAAAGGTGCTATAAAGTTTTTATTATTATTGTTATTTACAGTTCATATTATGCTCTGTTCATTACTGTTCTGTCTAACTAAACAAGACATTTGCATTTAAATTTGGGTTATGCAGTGTTTTTAAATTATATTTTACACTGGGGTGCCTTGAGATTTTATGCACTTTTGAAAGGTGCCCTGACTGAAAAAAGTTTGAGAAAGGCTGTCTTAGGTTGGTTAACGTGATACACTTATTATCTTATTAATTGCCTTCGTGATGAATCTGCACCTGCAACAGAACAACAGCGCTTACAGGATACACCACTGTTCACAATCAGTTTATTACCTTAAACATCGAGTTGCACTGCCACAATCAATGAATGAAGGGACATGCAAGGTAAATAAATGTTTAATAAATCAAATAAATATCTAATAAATTAAATATATAATTATCTAATAAATTAAATAACATAGGCTAATAAATTAAATAAATACATGGGCCCCTATGTAATAAATTACATTAAAAAAAATAATGAATTAAATAAATATGTAATAAATTATATTTAGTTAATTATCCAATAAATCCATCCAATATTGAATCAATTAACTAATTATATAAATATTAAATAGATACATATTTAATTTATATATATATATATATATATATATATATTTTTTTTTTTTTAATTAAGTAATGTGTCTTATTTTAGTATTTTATTGTATATTTATTTGTTGTGAACCAGAGCTCTAGATGAGACTCGTGTGAGATGGCTGAGGAGGAACTGTCTGGGACTCTCATATGAACAGCGCTGGGTAAATGAAATAAATAGGTAATAAATTAAATTTAAAAAAATTATAAATTAAATAACCATGATAAATAAATAAATATCTAATAAATAAAATCTATAAATAAATACTTAATAAATCAAATAAATATTTAATATATAATTTATACATATTTGATTAATTAATACATATTAAATAAATAAATAAATAATATTCAATAAAGTAAAAAATATATTAATTAAATAAATAATATAATATATAAATATTTAATGAATTCAATTAATCCACTCTAAAACATGCTTGGTTTGGGTCAAATATGGACAAACCCAGTCATTGGGTTACATTTTTTTACAACAACCCAGCATTTTTTAGAGTGTAAACATTTAAGGGGATAATTAATTTTTGATATGTTTTATCTTACCTCAAGGGCATCCAAGATGTAGGTGTCTTTGTTTCCACAGTATTTTCAATTTTGATATTTTTAGGTCAAACCGTTCTTGTCTATCAGTCATATAATGCAGGTTATGGTTACAAGAGGTAAAACGATATAAATACTGTTGGTTTTCTCACAAAAAACGCTCTTTTCGTGTCTTAGGCCATCACTGTGTACTTACATTTACGAGTCATTAAATCATGTTTAATTTGGACTTCTCTGTGCTGCTCTTTGAGGTGGTGACCATAGACCTCCATTATATGACTGACAGACAAGAACGGTTTGACCTAAAAATATCAAAATTGAAACTACTGTGGAAACAAAGACACCTACATCTTGGATGCCCTTTAGGTAAGATAAAACATATCAAAAATTAATTTCAATCCCTTTAAATAGTAAAACACTGTGAGCAAGTTTTCTAATGCTGTAAATAAGAGCTATTCGATGATGTTTCGCACAGGTCCAGATGTTATTCTCCTCTGTGTTCTGAGTGGGTTGTGATCTCCACTCGGGTTGCGTTTTGAAGTCAGCATGAAAAACTCAGCGCCTGTCCTTGACACACTTCTGCAAGGTGGACACGGTGACCCCGTCAGCTGGTGTCCCGTTCCCCGAGGACACGAACGCCCCGCGCCGCGACCGACCGCATCCATCTTCACGAACCCCCTTCAAACGCCTTGGGCTCGACCTCGGAGAACTCCCCACACGCCTGTGATTAATGCTGTTTACTCCAGCAGGTCAAACCATTTCAGCTTGAGGAGGGGAGACATTATGAGAAAGAACAGCGTAATTACTCAGGGCTTCGACCTGCCAGCGTCAGGCTCACCGGAGCAGCGCGGCTAATAAGAACATCCAAACGCGGCTCAAGAAATGCTTCCCATCAGGAGAAATGCAAACAGACCCGAACGAACGAGTCACTGTTCATCAATGAAGTAAGAGAGCTATAGAATCATAATGGAGAGCGATTCAGATCATAGATGAGAAGTGTTTGAGCTCATATGGAGACTGAGCACTGATCGAGACATCGGTGAGATCTCGGAAACATGCGCTTAGCAAACATTTCTGTCAACTAGTTTAGTCTTACTTCAAACGAGTGGTGAACCAGAGCTCTAGATGAGACGCATGTGAGATGGCTGAGCTCCTTCTCTGGAGAAAATCAAATACATATTTAATAAATGAAAAAATCAAAATGTAATTAAAATAAATTCTAAACACATATTTAATCAATTCAAATTAATATACATTCAAAAAAATAACTCTGTGAATGAACATAAAATTGACATGATTAACTTGCTTTATTTCAGCATTATGCAATTCTGTTATTGCAATTTAATGCACTTATGTTGGGTCAACTTAATGTATTAAAGGTTGATTCAACTTATTTACTATTGGGCACAGCTTCATTTAATATTGTCAGTGAATTTAAAAAGGCTCCCTGATATGATTCAGGTCTTCAAATTCATAATATTCATTCATCCAATACAATAAAATATATTTTAGTGTCACACTAATACATTTCTAGACTATAACCAAGTAGTAGCTACCAATAGCACTTGTTAGCATCTAATTTATAAGATTTACATGCTTCATAAACCAAAGCATTTGCAGTTGATTCAGTTTTCAACCTAAGCAAATGCTCCACTCTTCTCCACAATGGTAACACACCGTAATTGAAATGGTACTAATAATTGCAATGTATTTGAACATTAAACACAATTACGCACTATAAAGTCTTCCCCTTTTCTCAAAAACACATAAAATAACACTTAATTTAGACATTTATTCTCTCTTAATTCAGCCATATGCAAAGCATTCTGGGAACTAACGAGCACCGCCCAGTTTCAGTTAATGCAACACAAATCATTCATGTAATCCAACACAAACGGATTAAGTAAACTTACATTTTACTTATTTAAGTAGATTGAACACAATCAAATTAAGTTTGGACAAAATGTATAGCAATTGTGTTGTTTAAACTCAATTTAATTAAGCAATTTCGACAAGCAGCAAAAATATTTTTTTGAGTGTAAATATAGAAATATTTTTATGAATTAAATATCTAATGAAATAAATTAATATTTAATACATAAATCAATAAATGTTTATTAAATAACTAATATATACATATTTAATCGATCAAATAAATAATATATCAATATTTAATGAATTAAATTGATATCAATAGTAAACTGTCTGGGACTCTCATATAAACAGCGCTGGATAAATAACAAATTAAATAAATACATACGTAATAAATAAATATTAATTAAATATTAAAAGACTCTTATAGGTATTCATTTAATTAATAAATTAAATAAATGTTATAAAGTAAATAAATACATATTAAAAAATGTAAATATACATATTTAATAAATGAAAAAAAATTATGAATTAAATATCTAATACATTAAATATTAAATACATATTTAATAAATTAAAATTAATTATATAAAAATATGAATTAAATATCTAATAAATAAATATTATCATAAACACATAAATTAATACATATTTATGAAACAAATAAATAATAAATAAATATTTAAATTTGGGTCAAATATAGACAAACCCAAAATGTTGGGTTGAAAATGTAATTTAAAATTTTAACCCAACTTTCACTTTCAGCTGTACATTTTTTAATACATTTTTAACCCAACATCTGGGTTTATCCATATTTGACCCAAATTTGGGTTTGAAATAACCCAGCTTTTTTTAGAGTGTATTAATATTTAATGAATTAACTGTATAAATATGAATGATTCTCTGCACATTGAGACATTGTTTGTCTTGTGAACTGTCCTCGCTTGAGCTCCAGATGAGACGCGCGGGAGATGTGTGGAGAAACGGGAGATTTATTTCTCATGGAGAAGCGAGTGAGCGACTGAAGCGCTGTCGTTTCTGTTTCCTGAAGGCTTCTTCTTTCTTCAGGATCTCTAGAGGATTGCTCTCGCTCTGAATAAGAGGTCAGGTCGTTTGGAGGCAGGTGAGTGTGTGTGTGTGTGTGTTAAGGAGGCACTCGGCAGCATTGAGGAGGAGTGAGCGTTACACAAGTCTTCAGAGTTATCGGCACGCATGTATGGTGGGCGTCAGTATTAGAAATAAACAGAAAGCTTTCATGTTCTTCTAAAGGTCACGGAGACTCTGATATCGACTCGTGCTGTTCCTCTCGGAGCTTCACATGATGAGGGTCGTGGGAGGTCATCGTTCAAACACTCGCTTGTTCTCCCATGAAGAGGCCACCGCTGATCATCACTGGGACACGCGGCGTCTCGTGTGGGAGTGCATGATGGGATGGAGACACAGGACGGGCTCATTAGTCCAGCGAGGTAAACACAAACACACTGACTCAACATAATGATCTGTTTGCTCTTCATCAATCACACACACACACACACACACATCCGCCCATAAGGACCCTAAGTACTATTTACTGCTGTTTGCTATAACAAACTGCTAACCCTGATGCTGAAGTTTGGCAGGAGCTCGTCTCGCACTGTCTTTGCTTCGGGCTGAAGTCACGCAGTCAGATGAACACACACATGCTAAACACAGCCGTATTAATGTTGCATCGCAGAGCAGACACTCACTCACTCGCTCAGAAAACCTGATTACGGAAATGAATGAATATGAACGAGTTCTCACAGACGGGAACATGCTGTACCTGCTCAAAGCTTTGAGTCTGTCATTTTAATACGTTTATTCGTTAAGAACGCGTTAAACTGAGCTTTCCATTCATCAAAGAATCCTGAAAAAATCAATGTATTAGTTTCCACAAAAATATGAACTGTGTTCAACACTGATAATAATCATAAATGTGCCTTGATCATCAGATCCTCATATTAGAGTGATTTCTGAAGGGTCATGTGACACTGAAGACTGGGGCAATGATGCTGAACATTCAGGAATAAATTACACTTTACTAGATATTCACATAGAAAAGAGTTCATTTACACTGCAATAATTTTTCACTGTATTTTTAAACAAATAAATGCAGCCTTGAGCGCAACCCCAAACTTTTGACCGAACTTTTCCAATTCTATATTAAAATATTCTATAAAAAATAATAACTTTTTAAAAAAAATAACTTTTTCTATATTAAATAATTTTTCTATATTTTGTGCATTAAGTGAACTCAGTGTTACCAGTTAACCGTCACGTGTCACGTGTGTACAGTCTTGAATCCATGCATAACTATTAAAGTTTGTTTCTGCCACAGAATAAAACATTTTATAAGATAATTGCGACTTTTTATCTCACAATTACGAGCTTATACCTCACAATTTTGACTTTATAACGAGTAATTCTGAGAGATAAAGTCAAAATTATGAGATATTTTTTTTCTCTCTCTCTCTCTTTCTTCTTTTTCTTTTTAATGCACTTTGTAATATTATGGTATATGTATAGGGCTATGGACCATCTTGTGTGTCCTGAATAAAGATTATCTATCTATCTATGAACTTGTAATTGCAAGTTATAATGTCCAATTCTGATGTAAAGAGTTTATATCTCACAGTTCTGACTTTATAACACTTTATCACTCAATTATGAGATAAAAACATAACAGATAACATTTTTTTTTTAAATTTAATAAAAACTGATTTTAAATATGATTTAAACAAGGAGATGATGCAATGCATCAGCGAAACACAAGTGTCTTTTCGTCTGTATAAAGCACAATTCAAATAGTAATATAAGCGAGCAAGTGTTGCTGTGTGTCCTTGTGTCTCTGCTGGAGACGTGTGTGTGTGTGTGTGTGTGTGTCCTCGCTCCGCCCACAGGTGTCCCGGGATCTACAGGTGACCTGGAAACAGTAGTCGCACAGGATGATTGATCGCATCATTTAAAGGGCCGAGCCGCTGCTCCAGTTTTCTGAACGTCCATTTCAATAATCGTAAAACTCCTGGCATGATGAAAAGTGTGTATGGATTATATCCCAAAATGTGTGAGAGGAATGTTTGATTTCATTATGCAATATATCCAAAATCAAAGGTTGGAATGAAAATGAAGCTTTTTCTAACTATTCAGAGGATCCCATGTGGCACTGAATCGTGTGTGTGAGGATGACTCATTCAAACACAGTTGCTGCTAAACAACATTTTAAAGACTAAATGAAATGCTGTTTTGCTTCTGTAATGTGAAGGTTTTTTTTTAATATTTAACAGCAGGACTTGATTTCACTCGTTGCGTGGTGTACAGTGTCTGAAGCAAGATGTTTTTATGGATAATAATGTGCAGCGATTCTGTATTTTTATCTTGTTTTCCAGTACAAATATCTAAACATTGTTGCATCAAGATATGTTTACTTAAAATGAGTGAAGATATTAAATCTTATTTTCTGAAAAATGTATATGAAGTGAGTATGTGCTTAAAACAATAACAAATATCTGTCAATGGGGTCAGAAAAATAATCCTGTTTTATTTAAAGGAGTAGTTCACTTTTAAAAAAACGTTTGCTGATAATTTACTCTCCCCCATGTCATCTAAGATGTCCATGTCTTTCTTTCTTCAGTCGAAAAGAAATTAAGGTTTTTGATGAAAATATTCCAGGATTTTCTACTTATAATGGACTTCAATGGGGACCAAACGGTTCAAGGTCCAAAAGACAGTTTCATTGCAAACTGTTCAAAGGGCTTTAAACGATTCCAGACGATGAATAAGGGTCTTATCAAGGACTCTTTGAGTCATGACTCGAAAAAAGATTCGTTCATTTTGATGAACGAGTTCGAACTGGAGAGTCACGAACGCGCATCACAGAACAGAGCAAGCTGCGACCATTTGAGCTTATAAAACTTAAACTTTGTAATTTTATCTATGAAATGACCGATCATTTCGCTTGATAAGACCCTTATTCATCGTCTAGAGCCCTTTGAACAGTTTGCACTGAAACTGTCTTTTGGACCTTGAACCGTTTGGTCCCCATTGAAGTCCATTATATGGAGAAAATCCTGGAATGTTTTCATCAAAAACCTTCATTTCTTTTCGACTGAAGAAAGAAACACATGAACATCTTGGATGACGTGCTATCAGGAAATATTAATTCTGAAGTGGACTACTCGTTTAAATGTACCGTAAAGTATAATGTCCTAGTGTTTTATGTAGGAAAAGCAGCTCTTTCCTCTTGGATGCGGCTCATTCTGCAGACACTGCTCTGCGCTGTTATTGAGCAACTTTTAAATGCTCCAATTATGTAAATTACACAGAGATTACTTGTGATGATTACAGTAATGGCGAGGTGAGACGGCCAGCAGATCCAGCATGTTAATGCTCTCTGTCGGGGTGTTTTCGGCGCGGTGGCGAGCAGTAAATCCATATTTTGACTTTCGCTGTTGGATTTTTCATTTTTTTGTCTTACAGGAGAAACGCCGTAATGGAGGTGGACTGTAAATAAGCGGAAGCCCTTCTTGACAAATGAATCCATTAACATTTCCCTGTGTCGCCTGGCAAGGAGACTTGCCGTTTATGGGGCAGAAAAGCAGGCCTGTAAATCTGAGAGTCCACACCGGCCCACGATGCAGCACTTTATCTGCCTCTCGCACAGCATCTTTATCTGCCTAAATTAAGTTTTGATTCCTTGCCACATACGGTGCCGCAAATCACTTATAACGCTGATATCAAGAGCGGCGCTGAAGTCGGCCCGTGGCCATGAAAACCTCTTGATTTTGTAGCATCCTCTGTTGTTCGGGGCCGGATTTAACCCCTGCTGCTCTGCTCATTTCCCATGCATGATCTCTCGCGGGAAAGGGCGGAGGACGCTCTAGAAAGGGATGGAGACGAGGTTTATGGGCAGAATAAATCTCCAATTTAAATGTGATTTTAGCACCGCGTGTCAAAGACGGATTCCCTGACTTCTGTTTCACTTCACAACACCGGCCTGAACTCAGAGACGGAGGACGCCCATCATTCACTGGGACGCGTAATGTCTTTGTTAGCGGAGGAGAAGAGCTGTCGCGGCGGTGACTGACGGGCCTTTCATCATTAGCGGACGCTGACGGACAGATCTGACTGGAGGAGAGCATCAGTTCTGAGGGGTGAGTTTGTGCTTTAACTTTGATTTGTCATCAAGGTTTAGATATTACATCTTAGTATCGTAAGAAAGTCAACATTCATGCATTATTATTAGCTCATCCAACATGTTTATCCCTGTTGCACTATGCATTCGGCCAACGCTTTTATTCAAAGCAACTTGCATTGCGTTGCAAGCCACACATTTACGTTCTTATCAGTTCCTGTTTCCCTGGGATTCGAACCCATGATGTGGCGTTGCAAGCGCTGGCGCCCGACTGTTTGAGCTACAGGAAAGCTGTACGTGAGCTCATTTACGTGGCCTGCCTTGTATTTAAACGAATTGATTTTAAAAACGACACTGTTGTCTTCGTTTCTTCTCATAATTTATTATCTTTACACAGTTTTTTTTAACTGAACTGAATCAACACTGAACTGAACTGAATCAACACTGAACTGAACTGAATCAACACTGAACTGAACTGAATCAACACTGAACTAAATCAAGACTGAATTGAACTGAATCAACACTGAACTTAAATCAACACTGAACTGAATTGAACTGAATCAACAATGAATTGAACTAAATTAACGCTGAACTGAATCAACACTGAATTGAACTGAATCAACACTAAACTGAATCAAGACTGAACTGAACTGAATCAACACTGAACTGAATCAACACTGAACTGAACTGAATCAACACTGAACTGAACTAAATCAACACAGAACTAAATCAAGACTGAATTGAACTGAATCATCACTGAACTTAAATCAACACTGAACTGAATTGAACTGAATCAACAATGAATTGAACTAAATTAACACTGAACTAAATCAACACTGAACTGAACTGAATCAACACTGAACTGAACTAAATCAACACTGAACTAAATCAAGACTGAATTGAACTGAACTTAAATCAACACTGAACTGAATCAACAATGAATTGAACTAAATTAACGCTGAACTGAACTGAATCAACACTGAATTGAACTGAATCAACACTGAAGTGAATCAATACTGAATTGAATCAACACTGAACTGAACTGAATCAACACTGAACTGAACTAAATCAACACTGAACTAAATCAAGACTGAATTGAACTGAACTTAAATCAACACTGAACTGAATTGAACTGAATCAACAATGAATTAAACTAAATTAACACTGAACTGAATCAACACTGAATTGAATCCACACTGAACCGAACTGAATCAACACTGAACTGAACTAAATCAGGACTGAACTGAACTGAATCAACACTGAACTAAACTGAATCAACACTGAACTGAACTAAATCAAGACTGAACTGAACTGAATCAACACTGAACTAAACTGAATCAACACTGAACTGAACTAAATCAAGACTGAACTGAACTGAATCAACACTGAACTAAACTGAATCAACACTGAACTGAACTAAATCAAGACTGAACTGAACTGAATCAACACTGAACTAAACTGAATCAACACTGAACTGAACTAAATCAAGACTGAATTGAACTGAACTTAAATCAACACTGAACTGAATCAACAATGAATTGAACTAAATTAACGCTGAACTGAACTGAATCAACACTGAATTGAACTGAATCAACACTGAAGTGAATCAATACTGAATTGAATCAACACTGAACTGAACTGAATCAACACTGAACTGAACTAAATCAACACTGAACTAAATCAAGACTGAATTGAACTGAACTTAAATCAACACTGAACTGAATTGAACTGAATCAACAATGAATTAAACTAAATTAACACTGAACTGAATCAACACTGAATTGAATCCACACTGAACCGAACTGAATCAACACTGAACTGAACTAAATCAGGACTGAACTGAACTGAATCAACACTGAACTAAACTGAATCAACACTGAACTGAACTAAATCAAGACTGAACTGAACTGAATCAACACTGAACTAAACTGAATCAACACTGAACTGAACTAAATCAAGACTGAACTGAACTGAATCAACACTGAACTGAATCAACACTGAACCGAACTGAATCAACACTGAAATTAAATCAACACTGAACTAAACTCTATATAGAATAGATAAAACTCTATTTCTATAGAAATAACCTAAAGTTGACTTGTTTTTTTCTTTAAAAGTGTATAGTTCTTGTTCTGATTCGATGAATTTACACCTAAAACCTTGAAGTTTAACTTTACAAACGACCTTTGACATTTAAACCCTGATGAGTTAATTGTGGTCGTTTGATCAGAACCCGTTTCTGGATTTGAGAATCGCTGCTAAAAACACGCTCAGTCTGTTTGTTCACTGTTTCTGCTCTTCTTCTCTGATTAATATCAGCCCAATTAATTAAAGCATAATGGATTCTTAACAGTTTTACCGCCATATCAATAAAAAACTAAACGGGCATATGCAAAGAGCACTAAATGCCTTATTTATGCATGAACGTCAGGACCATCTGAATTAATTCAGCTTTCTCCCTCTTAGGTCTGCGGCCGCCATTAGTTACTGAAGAACTGGACGAGCTTCTGTGACATTACGATGTGCTTTCGCTACAGAATTTGTTAAAGGGCCATTCGCTTGAAATATCTGCACTGACAGTAAAATACCAACCAGAGCCATTAGGTTTGAAGCCCAATCAATCTCATACTTAAAAAAAATACTAGTGTCTCACAAAAGACAAAAAACAGGCAGAGAGCATCAGTCGTGGAAATACATATACGCTTACATTAAGAGGACAGCCAAACATAGCTATAGTTGGAGGAGTAAGTCAAACCACTCCACATATAGAGTAATCAATCAGTGTGCTTCGTTAGAGTAAACCCACAGCAATTTATAGTCACTTTCCCAACTCCTGATTTTAATTTTAATACTGCAAAGCAAATAAAAAAATCTATATTCTCACACACACTGCATTTACCAAGCATCACGAATTAGCATAATAATAACTCAGGGCAGGAAATACTGTAATCATAGTTTGGTCAAGTTTGAATCTGTTTCCATGAGTAATAGATAATGTTCTCTCAGGCCCATCAGCAAAAAAAGCAATTTCCCTCCCGCTGGTAATTCAGAGTGAAACACCACGAGATGTCAGATTCTCTCCGACATCATTGTTCATGCCACAAAAACGAGACGAGTCGACGCAGCGGTCACGCTTTCTCTCATCTCAGCATTACTGCCGTTTATTTACAGACTGGAGATCGTTTCTCATCTACGCCTGAAACTAAAATAGAAGATAAACAAGTCTGAATTAATTCATCTTTGTGGGTTGGTGTAATTTTTTAATGTCTTTGAGCTGCTCACCAAAGCTGTATTTATTTTAGCAAAAATACAGTAAAAATACTCACATTTAAAATATCTATTTTATGTGAGTGTACTGTACAGTAAAGTGTCATTTATTCCTGTGAATTTCCAGCATCATTACTCCAGTCTCAGTGCAAACTGTTCAAAGGGCTTTAAACGACTCTAGACGATGAATAAGGGTCTTATCAAGCGAAACGATCGCTCGTTTAATAAATAAATGAAAAAGTTTAAGTTTTATAAGCTCAAATGCTCGCCTTGCTCTGTTCTGTGATGCGTGTTCGTGACTCTCCTTTTTCCGAGATATATGGTTCATTCAACGAACGAATTGACTCAGAAAAAGATTCGTTCACTTTGATGAACGAGTTCGAACAGGAGAGTCACGAACACGCATCACAGAACAGAGCAAGGCGAGCATTTGAGCTTATAAAACTTAAACTTTGTTATTTATTTATTAAATGACCGATCATTTCGCTTGATAAGACCCTTATTCATCGTCTAGAGCCCTTTGAACAGTTTGCACTGAAACTGTCTTTTGGACTTTGAACCGTTTGGACCCCATTGAAGTCCATTATATGGAGAAAATCCTGGAATGTTTTCATCAAAAACCTTCATTTCTTTTCGACTGAAGAAAGAAAGACATGGACATCTTGGATGACATGGGGGTGAGTGAATTATCAGCAAAAGTTTTTTTTTAAAAGTGAACTACTCCTTTAAACAACAATTCATGTTTTTGTGGAAACATTCTATTTTTATTTCAATTCAACATCAATTGGATTTATTTTATTAAATTTTATTTTTCATAAATCTTCGATTACGACATACAATAACGTCTTTACTGTCACTTTTAACCAGTTTCATGTGTCCTTGCTGAATAAAAGTATTCATTCATGTATTTTTTTTTTACTTTTGAATGGTAGTATATATATATATATATGCTGTAAGTCTTGATAATGTCCATTAAAATGTCTTAAATGTGTGTCACAAAGAGTCCACCTTTAAGGGCAACCAATCCAGTCCGTCGATACGCTGGACTTAAGCAGCAGTGATGAGGATTACAGGCCAGACGACTCTGTAGTGCTGAAGAATAAAGAGACGCTGCAGCTCCGTACAGGGAAGAGTAAGGGTAGGAAATGATGTCACGGCGTGTCACTTCTGGTGCCGAATGAGTGCAGCGGGGGACATTAGTCTTGGAGACTCGGTACATGTTCTTTTCCCAGCTCTCTCGGGGGCCGTGTTTCTTTTGGGGCCGTGATGGGAATAGGTCATCAAAGTGGGTTCATAAAAACGGCCCCCCAAAAACAGAGATATTACAGAGCCGAACCTCGGGGCGAGAGAGAATTAAGGCCATCTGAGCTGGTGTTGCTCTTTGCTGACTGAGACCTCTGACATTTTGATATTACTTTGGAGAATTGTATCATTTCAAAGTTGTAAAGCTAAAAAAAATCTGGACATAAAAGATATATGTTGTTTTTAAAAGATGAACAACATGTGGCACTTAATGCTTGCTCGGGATGCAGTGTGTTTTCCTGCCCTCTATTGTTCCATTGTGGCCAAACCATACGCTGTAAAAAATAAAATAAAAAATATATTATATTTATGGTAAAAAATACACGGCCATCTGTGGCTATAGCAAGTTACTGTAAAAAAACATGGTAGCAACATTTGAGGTTTTGCAGATGTAAGTTAAATTTACAGTAAAATACCGTATTTCATTAACTGATATGTTAATTTACCATCCCATTGAAATACTAGAACCAATCACAGCGGTGATGAGAGTCACATGATCAATCACAGCTCATCACAAGCTGAGAAAGTTGCAGTAATAAGGTGAATAATCGTCATTCACACAAACGCTAAACATCATCATTCCTGAAATTTAAAAAAATGCAATGAAAACTACGAAAAACTGACGATATTTCAACTAAAAGCGTCACGCAGGGAATTCTGGGAATGTCAATTGACATTTTTCCCCCGTAAATTATACGACTTGTTCTTTTTCACTTCCAAAAACTCTGTTTACTTTATTTTACTGTAAAACTACATTACAGTTTCACAATCACTTTGTTACTATATTCAGAACCTTGATGTCATTTTTCTCACAACCAATGATCAAAATGCACATTTTTCAAAACTCAAACCATTTCTCAATTGCTTGGATAGACTACACATAAAACTCAGATCATTTGTTCATTCAACATAAATCCCCTGTTCAATACGACACAACTGAACATCACAGTACGACTATCTCAAAAGGCAAAAATTCACACATTACATCTCAAATGAGAGTCTATTCATTTCCTTACAGTGATCTGACACAACTGCTCACAATGATCAGAACTGTTGCGTTACTTTTAATGCAGACAAACAATCTTCAACTTTACAGTAAATCATGAAAGTTTCAAGATAACGAGATTCATTGTCACCAATTAGCGTGGAGCATGAACCAATAAGACTACAATATCCATGGATGTAGCCTAATATTATATATTTTTGATTCCAACAAACCTCTGTTGTGTTTACTGTAGTGTTTTGCATCAATATATCACACACTTTGTTCAATGATTCATCTGTGTGTATTCTCTCTACGACTGCAGTGATTTACAGAGATGTGTTTACTGTACATGTAGTGCCATGTTGAAACCTGGATCTCTGATTTTGTTCTACAATATTTAATGATTGTAAGAACAATGACAGTGAAACTATCGGTTGCTTATGTGTGTGTGATCTATAGTTATGTTTTAATGGTATTTCACAGTAAATTTGTTTATTGAACCAATGATTGTGCATGTGCAAGATTTCTTTAAAGATGTGAACGCACAATGCAATGTTCTGTGTGATAACCGTTGTGTGTTTTGTGCCTAAAGTTTAGAAAAATGACATCGAGGTTCTGAAAATAGTATCAAAGTGATTGTAAAAAACTGTTAATATTACATCTATCACAGTTATTAACCGTATATAGTATGGAAACTTTCAATTTTACAGTCGCATGCTGACGGAAAGCCCCGGAAAGCGCTTTCCTTAGTTCCCTTTATGAGATTCCACAGGAGGCCACCCATGATGTTAACCCCACCCAAGTAAACGAGTTTCTGAGGTGTCACTCACCAAGATTAAAGGCGGTCCAGAAGACCTGCTGTAAACAGCATTAACTCCTTCGCTAAACATTATAGAATTGCATAATATTTACAGAGCCTGTTCACATAGAAAATGTGAGGATGCATAAATCAAATGGAAAAACATGACAAGCGTGTGTCTTTAGTGACCATGCATTCTGTGTAAAACTGGAACTGAAATGAACGCTGTTTACTTTACTGGCCATTTAGCGGATGCTTCATCATGTGAATCCACTGAAGAGCTGAACTGCCTAAACCCGACGGTTCGAGTCTCGCTCCAGGACTGGGTTCAGCAGTTCTCCGGTTCCTAGATCTCTTCAAACTGAGGATGAACCCGACACACTGAGGTCAGCAATCCGGAACCATGAGGACATGACATCATCATACGGGCACATGCAGAGACACGATGGAAGAACACCTGCAGAAGAGTCTGATCTCTCACACACACACACACACACAACTGCAGAAGAGTCTGATCTCATGCATGTTTACAAACAAGCATAAAGTGTGTATGTGGGCGTGTGTATGTGTGAGAGAGATTGTGTGTGTGATGACATCATCATCCATCATAAGTAGACTTGATGCAAGAACACCTGCAGATAGAGACTGATGAGGTCGACACACACACACACACACACACACACTGTTATCGTGAGCTCAGAGACGGGCTCGGCCTGGGTTTGCAGGATCACTTCAGTTATCATGGTTAGTGGTTTTCTTCCTGTCATAATTATCGATCATGCCTTCTGACGAGAGCATGCTTTGGGTAATTAGCAGCGCTGAACGAATAACAGGAGGGCAGTGATAAGCAAAGCAAACGTCGTTAAAGGTTTCGTTGATTAGATTCCACAGAGGTTTGTTTTCCTCTTGTTGATTCAGTGTCATGGATCAGAACCAGGAGTAAAACATTAACCTCAATAAAGTCCTTCTCAAACCTCCCAGTGTGGGTTTCACATCACAAACATTCTCCACTGACCATCGTTGCAAAATAAAGAAATGATTTACTGTGTATATATATATGTGAGTGTGTGAGTGAGTGTCTTTGTGTATGTGTGAGTTTGTATGTGTGTGACAGAGAATGTGTGTGTCTTTGTATGTGAGTGTGAGAGAGAGAGAGAGTGAGTGTGCATGTGAGTGCTTTGAGAATGTGTGTGTGTGATAATGAGTGTGTGTGTGTGTGTGTGTGTGTGAGAGAGAGAGAATGTGTGTGGGTGTGTGAGAGAGAGAGAGAGTATGTGTGTATTGATATGTCCCTCATTCTACAGTATTTATCTGTGCTGAGATTATGGTAATCATGCGCAGAAAACTTATCCTAATCGAAACAGAGCAAAACAATATCTAAATGACGTGTGAAAACAAGAATTCTGTCCTAACCATAAATCTGATTTGATAACACACACAGACACACAAGGTTAACACCCGCTCCGCGCGCCCGCACCTGGTTTTCTTCACCCTAGACTCGGAGCGCGTCCGGATTGGCTGGAGCGCCGGTGTCTCGCGCTAGGATCCGCGCGCCTCTTCAACTCTCCATCAGAACGCGGCGAGCACGCGCTGGAGGAACTTCAACTGACAGACGCCGATCCTGAACATGAACTCACCTCAGGAAAACTGATTTTTAAAACCTATTGACGGCTAATTTTCGCGAAGCCTTGAGAGAAAACTGCTCAGAAGAGGTAAAACTGAGGATATTTAATCCCAAACATATGTGTTTGACGGGCGTTGGTGGCCGCTGACTGTCAGAAGAAGAGTGCGCTGAGGTAAAAACCAACGGATTCGACCAATATTTCCCCCCGCAAATAACCGACTCTCCGCGACAGTCCTTGGTTTTGCTATAAACAACACCTTTATCTGATTATTTCACCTGACGGCGGAATTTTTCCTTGTTCGACTGTTTATATGATGGGAAGAAGTCAAAAGACTGCGAGAGGAGAACGAGGCGGATCGGGATTCTTACCGCAGATGGTCACTGTGTTGATTTTTAGTATTTTATTGCTTATCAACATCGGGGCGGCTCAAGGTAAGAAAACCCTTTTAGTATTTGTTATTCACGAACGGCAGGTGAAATATCGATCTTTATCGCTGACTGGAAGTTTGCTGAACGAGCGAGATAAAGTTTCGTTAAATTAACGTTACTGGTCTGATAACTTGCAGGATTTGCGGATGAAAAGTTGTCAAAACAACAGATCTGTCTGTAACTTACACGGACGTGCTAATTAACTTAGATACTGTCTGGTTTCGGTGAATAATGAGTCTGTGGGGAAATTAATTCAGTCAATCATTTTGCTTAGATAATCAAATTTAATATTTCACGCCAGCGGGAATTGATCGTTTTTGTCTCGTGTGTAAATTCCGCGATTCTCTGTTGGAATAATTTTGTAATCCATTTGCGCAAGATCAGATTTGTCTACACTCATAAAAAATAGTCTAAATCTTTGGGTTCAAAAATGTAATTAATATATGTTTATATATTTGTCCACAACACGTCATTTTTTAGGGTGTATATGTTCAACAATATAATATAATATTATTATCAATGTTGTTATATTGGTTGCTGTAGTTTTGTTTATTAATGGTGATATAGCCTACATATATGATTACGATATTGGTTTTTATGTTTGAGCCAATATTGTCACAGTTGTTTACATTTCTTTATATTGAATATCATATTATGTGGATGATTGACATTTGGCCTTGATACTAGGTATGAGCTCATAGTGAGGTCATTACTTGAGAAAACTTTGTCCTCTGCTCTTCTGTGCGGCTGAACAAAAGCAGGAGTGTGTTTGAGAACATTAGACATGAGCGCAGCGACGTTTGTTCAATTTGTCGTTGTTTATGCGCAGACACTGACCTTCCCGAAGCGCTTATCGTGCTTGTTAATGTCTTCAGTCCTGTTGTGAATGCTGAAATTTTTTTACAGGGCATTTGTGTTGTGCTTTCTGCTTTTAAAGGATACGAGTATTTGATCCGCGTTGATTTTCATACGGATTTGCTGTAAATTAGAGATCACATGTTGTGGTGTGTTTTTTGTGATGTGTGTGTGTGTGTGTGTATATACTGTATATATATATACCGTATGCAACGGAGTTTAAATGGGCTTACATTAAATTCATTACATAAATTGGGAAACCTATATAGCAAATTTCATACATGGTGGGATTTTGTTTTCATCTATGTTTAAAAATATAAATTATGTCCTCAGGGTCCCTCCCCCTGGAGTGAATCTCTGCCATTTGAATAATTAAATCCTCCACTTAATATATTTTATATTATAGGTCATTAATTAAAAAAAAAAAAAAGTTAATTCGGTAATATTTTAAGGAAACGGGGAAAACTGCAGTACTTGCATATCAAAATATCACTAATGGCCTTGTTCTGTTTGAATGGTGCTGTTGCGTTTAAATTGTCAATTTACTCAAATTCTTGGTTTCTATGAGTGAAATAAATATTTATTTTAATTTATTGACTATTTCTGCTGTATTTTCAGAAATGCATGCTTTGATTGCATTATAATGAACTAATTAAATGAATGTTCCTCCGGGCACAACATGGTGAGTTAAAAGTGCTTTCTCAACGGTGAAGACGCTTTCAAGTTTGTGTTTGGCATATCTCAGATACGCCAGTGCCGATGCCGTTAGCCTTCTTAAACGTGTCCGTTCGGTGCAGTGGCGTGTTGGGACTCCATTAAAGGGATTTCGCTGAATAATTGTTGAGGAAGTAAGCAGGCAGCCATGTTTCTGACACGAAAGGATGGCACAAAGAGCTGCATCTCCTCCGAGCGGTGTTTGACATTGACTTCAACCCTCCCTCAGTGGTTTACCTGCAGTTATAGTGCTCAGATGGACTGGAGTCTACTCATCTTGTGTTTTTGACATCATTTATTCTCCCCCCAGCATTTTTTATACATCTAAACAACAATTAACAAACATTCATCAGCAACCAACAACAGCAAATACAACATAGACATTGTGCTTTTACATTATGTGCATTAAGAAAAAGTGAGAAAGAAAGACGTCAGTAAATCACTTACTCTAAAAAATGCTGGGTTGCTTCAACCCAAATTTGGGTCAAATATGGACCAACCTAGCCATTTGGCTACATTTTTAAATACAATTTTTAACCTAATAGTTGGATTTGTCCATATTTGACACAACAACCCAGCATTTTTTATAGTGCAAGCAAACCTTGACACCAACATCAGATCGTTCTCTTACAGTTATAATTGGTTTTGAAGATCATTTATGAAAGGATGCAACGTTACAGGGAACCTGGAGCCCCTTAAATTAAGTCTTATTTTTGTCCAAACTTAGGAATTGTAAAATATTTGCCAACAAAGAAGTTAAGGTTACATACAGAGTCCAGTTCATTTTTGCCACTGTTTTTGTGCGCACACAATGCCAAAGAGGCCCATTTATTCTCTTCTATTCTAAATTATTATTATTATTTGGAAAAAGTGCTATTTGTGTTGCATGCTTCAGGCTCGCATTGCAGTTCCAAAAACGTCAGGAATCAGATTGTTAGAAACCCTATCCAGTCTAGCGAAACCTCCCTGGACAATTGTGCATAGTTAATGAGGAACAAGGAAAGGATGAGGAAAAACTATCCCGCTCCAGTGTCTGAAGGGCATCGCAGGATGACATAAGCCCGATTCCAAAAGCCCTCGGAGGCCAATGCCATCGACTCTAATGGGAACACGAACCAAGTCTCTTCGTGTCCATTAAGAAGTCGATATTTAGGGAGAACATTGTTTGCGACTAATTAATGGCCCATAGGTTTTTTGGATACTAATGAGCTACACGTTTCCGGTTCACATGGGGATCTTTTCAGTTCTCTTGGAGAACCGGCCAAAAGTATGGTTTCAGCTTTTCTGCATGAAAAAAAATTCCCTTGCACTCCTTTTCTCTCCTTATCCACCTATTTTTCACTGTCGATGCACTTGTTTTAATTAAGTGTGTGAATTCCCACTCGTCCCAGTGTTCTCTCGGCCCTTTCCATGAGGAGAAGACGGCGATAAAGAGCAAGTGCCTGAATCAAGTACAGTAAAATCACTGACATCTCCACCACAAGTGCCTGATTATGAATAAGAGGCGACTGTGAATGTCAAGAGAGAGCGAGGGGGATAAAACCGAGCTTCCCGACCCTGAGAACCCTTGACAATGCTTAAAAGACAATCTCGTCATCCTCTTTAACGGAAAACGGAGGCTGAAGTAGATCGTTTTGAATATGCAGGGCCTTTGTTGATGAAAGCAGAAGATCCCAAATGTGCATAATCCACTCTTGTACATTTGTTTTCCTGTAGCATCGGAGTATATCCATATGCAACGCTCTATCCTCTTTTTATGCAAACAAAAGCCTTGTTTGTTCTCTTCTACACATAATTACCGGTTTAAAACCGGTGCGTCAAAGCGTGAGTTCACTTTTTCCATGTCTGTCCTCTCACTCTCTGTGTTATGATGTGTCCTCTGAGCTCTGTTTATGAATGCCTAATGGTATTATTGGTATGACAATATTTTCAATGCTCAAAACGCATAAAAATTCAGTGTAAGTGAGAATGTTATTGCGATCATCATTACTCTAACCGCTTCCCTCATTGCCTAACGGTCGGGTCTCATGGGCGCTACTAAGGTTACAGTCATCATGGTCGTTCTCCAAGTACGTTTGGGAACACAAAGAGAGCATTGTGCGCCGAGCGGCTACCACAGCATGACCTAGTGCCACTGTATATCGTAATTCCCTCAGGATGCAATGATGTAGAGCGTTTTTAGTTGGAGAAAATGAGATCTAACACAGTCACGTGCCAGTGAAGGGAAGGTCGAGCCAAACGGTGCGTCATCAGAAACTTCAGCATTGCACGCTGTTTGTTGGCCTTCCCCCGTGCTGAGGATATTTTTTCGTGATAATTGCTGTGAAAGTCGTGCTGAGGTTGCAGCTCTTTTCTCCTGACGTCACGTCGCGCTCTGGCTGTGTAAAAGATGTATTACGGTGTGCGTTGTGCATTGTCTACGCCGAATCGCACCGTATCCAGCTGTGCGAGTAGGTGAGCGAGCAAAGTCACGGCAATGACAGACTCTATCCGTCGCAAGAAAAGAGGAAAAGCGAACGGGGAGTGGAGTGAGTGCAATTAATCACACACTGTCACCCTGTAAACTACAAGGGAAGCATCAAAGTGCAGCTCTGGGTTCTATTATCAGTCCATTAGCGAGACACTTCAAGCATTGCACTGCAGAAGTGACCGACCTGTCTGTCAACACATCTCTTTTATAGAAGCCAGGACTCGGGCGCACGTGCAAACCTTGCGTATTCTTCAATATGAAGTGATGTTACGCTTCCCTTTTAACGTAATGAATCAGGTTTTTGAAATCCAAACCCAAGCGCTCAAAGCCTCTTTGTTTTCCACTTACAGAAATGCTGCTGCCCCGAGAATCCTCAGTGTCCAATTATAGCTGAGGATCAGAGAAATGTAATTTACAGTCCCTGCTCCTCATGGAGAGGGTAATTGTGATCAGGAAATGGAGAAAGAGAGATGAGTTATTACCAGTCAAGGGGTTTCACTCAGGGCAGTTATGAAGACGAGAGTGATGCCTAGGGTTGGGTATCAAGAATCGAGTATCGATTGGAATCGGGACTAACTTTTCGTTTTTCCCGGAATCGTTCAAAAGTTAAAATTTCGATTCCTAGTTTCGATATTCACAGTCCGCCGAGCGGAAGAAGAAACCGCTAAACAACACCAACGAAGAAGCGTCTACCGGAAGTGTTGGCATAACCACGCGAGTCGAACATGAGTACCTTACTTCGGCGATCCAAAGTGTGGGTTCACTTTTCTAAAAATAACGAAATCTCAGCAAAATGCAAAATTTGTGACAAAAGGAGTATTTTTACAGAAGGAGTATTTCCTTCAGAAAGGCCGTTGGTTAGCAAGGTTAGCTAAACTTTTTGACCCTGCCTCTTAAAAGAATCGGAATCAAGAATCGTTAGGAACCGGAATCGAAACAAGGAATCGGAATCAGAATCGTTCAA